GACGCTCAAAAAGACATCTGTTGGCGAAAAAATGTGAGATATATTACCCCAAACATCACTTGGCACAGGCCAAAAAAAGATGAAGTGACTGATCTTGAAAGTCCTCTGTATTTCTTTCGGCAGTATTTTACTCCTGAGCTTATCTCTTTCATGGTTGAGCATACAAATCTATACGTTGTGCAGAAATTTATGAAATGCCCACCAACAACGATGGATGAAATGGAGACACTCTTTGGAATACATATATTGATGGGCAATCTTCATTATCCCAGAGTGAAATGTTACTGGGAAAATAGATTACGTGTGCCCATGATCGTCGATGCAATACCTCGCGATCGATTCCACCGACTGCGAACAGCCTTGCATTTCGTGAAAGTAGTAGAAAGGGGCCCAAATTGCACGGACAGAATGTGGAAAGTACGACCATTGTATAACACCCTACGTGAACGAATGACCACCCTTCAATTGGAATTGGAGTTGAGTATCGACGAGCAAATGATTCCCTTCAAAGGGAGGCTAAATGTGAAGCAGTATATAAAGGGGAAACCTTCTACGTGGGGTATCAAACTGTTCGCTTTGGGTGGGTCGAGTGGCCTGATGTATGATTTTCTCATATACCAAGGGCTGACTATTGAGCAGCAAGAAGTTTTTGGACTTGGAGCTTCAGTTGTACTCAAACTTTCTGAAAGGATCAAGGTAATCAACATACAACTTTACTTTGACAACTATTTTTCGAATTATAATTTACTACAGTATTTGAGAAATTCATAAATTTACGCTTCTGGTACCGCACGAGTGGACCGTTTTGGTAGACCTCCCTTCTCCTCAGACACTGTAATGAAAAGTAAAGGTCGTGGATATGCGGAAGAACTCATCAGTAACGATAGCCTAGTGGTGCTCACCAAAAGATTTGGTAGTAAAAGTGTTGTCATGGCGTTCAATTACATGAGTGTGGGAGAGGCTGATTCATGCAAACGTTGGGATAAGGTGAAAAAATCTGTTTAAAAATCTGTTTAAAATCTGTTTTTCCGTTAATCAGCTGCCGCCCCCATACGAACGACAACTCTCAGAAGTTGAGAAACTTGTGCGAGCTAAGGACTAACGAGGTCTTACCTTTTAACGTGTGATTCCTAACACAGATAAATTCTCTCGAGAAAAATATCTGGTCGAGGCGGGAATCGAACACACGACGTTCCGATCGTGAGTCGGACGCACTACCACCGCGGCCAATTCCACAACAAGAAAATATAAAGAAAGAAAATATAAATATCCCCCGGCCGGAAGTTATCAGACAATACAACAGCCATACGGGAGGGGTAGACAAAATGGATTTTCTGCTCACACTCTATAGGACCAAAACTCGAAGTCGTAAATGGACACTTCGTATGTTCACCCATGGAATCGATATAGCATGCACAAATGGTTGAATCGAGTACCGGCAGAAGGCTGAGGATCTTGGAGTGAACAAAAATACAATTTTAGATTTATTGCATTTTCGTGCATATGTTGCTGAGGGCCTAATTGGTGGGACCAGGGCCGAGTCGACACCGAGATCACGAGGACGGGCTTCGAGAGATTCGCCAACAATTTCACCGATGGTAAGGATCAGAAACCGAAAAGAAATGATGACAGTAGACGAAGTTAGACTCGATGGAATGAAGCACTATCCGGAATTTGACAATAAGAATTTTGCAAGTAGGTGCAAAATGCCGACTTATATATCTCGAATACACATTTTTTGCCAGAAATGTCAAGTCCATTTGGGCATAGCAAAAAAAACAGAATTGTATCAAATTATACTATACAACAAAATGAATAAAAATTAACTCTAGAAATGAATTGCTTTGTTTTCTATTGGTAGCAATATTACCATTGAGACTCTGTGTGCACATGTCAGAAGTCGAAATCGACCATAGATATGACATTATAATCGATAGCAAAATTCTTTAAAAAAATCACAAATAACATGCTCTGTTTAAATTTTTTTGCTAGACTAAAAAAAACTCGGGTCCGAAAGGGTTAATATTGATTTTGGTGACCTTCAGTTTCAACGGGACAATTGTTCAATGCACGACCAATGACACAAGTTTTCTCCTTAATACGTTTCCTGGTCGATTGATATCTGCACATAGTACAATTGAGTGGGCTCCCAGATCACCAGACTCATCTCCGAGTGATTTCTTTCTTTGTGAATATCTGAAAAAATGTGTCTATGGGCATGAATTTTGGAGAGCTACAAATCCTGATGAATTAAGGGAAAACCTATCCAGCCAGCATTACATCAAATAAACTCAGAGATATGAGATTATCTCTGTATCACATATTTGGCCATTGTTGATCACAATAAGGTGGTTCATTTGAACCTCTATTGTATTGGGTCAATCGATTTTCATAAGTTACTTTTTTTTTTAGTTATCAGAAGTAGACGTTATGTTTTCTTTGAGTTTCAGAGAACATCATCTGTTTCGATTCAAAGCGTGTGTTTCATTTTCGAAGCCCTTTTGACGTGAAGGAAACACAACACCTATTTTTTGATAGGAGAAATTATTTGTTACAGTTATCGCAGCAAATAATTACTAGCAGACAATGGAGCTTCGGCTACGCATGGTTTCTTGCTCAAAGTCAGACATACAAAAATGGGAACCTTGTTCCCATTTTGGTTCGCCCGAACCATGTTCGTCATTTGTTCCCCTGTATGTGGTGTTTAATGAACCAAGATCGCCACAATTTCTCACGAAGTTGGTCTTCCATAGGGTTGGAAAACATTTGTTCGGTTCGCCGGCAGAGCGCACCAAGTTCGTCTGTGTGTGGAGGAGAGAAACTGTTGTTCGCCATTTTGATTTCTGTCAGTACTCAGGCATAAATTTCGTCAACAGTAGAATCGAGTTAGTAAAGCATAGTTTCCTTAAGGGATTTAGAAAAGTGAAGTTGACAATGAAATCCGGCGCATCGGAGAGAAATTTTTACAAACCACGATTATGGTGCTATGACCTCATTTCTTTCTTAAATAATTGGTGTAATCTTTCGCACGGTTCTCCCTAAGGTGATACAGGTGATTGAGGTGAAACCATTTATCTCTCGTATTCGATATTCCGTCACGAACAACTCTCTAATTGGTCAACTGCTATCGCCAACCCCGTCGAGAGGCAAGAATGTCTCTCGATTCGTATGTTCCGATATTTATTTTTCGTATCACTGTAATCTGCTAGGATGTCATGACTTTGTGTACAAGTATTCCCAAATACCAGATATGAATTGAAACCCGAATGTCAAAACTACCTATTTTGGACAGATATCATTAGTAATGTATTATAAATAATTATTTTTTTAGGATTTGAAGGGACCACTACAATGACCACTTTCACCTTGAATTTACTACAAAACGTAAGTTTGAGAATTCATTGGAATATTCATACTGAAAATGGGTAATATTTTTGCATATATACATAATATAAACAGGCTGAGGTGGAGTTGAGAATATAACGAGAAATGCGAGTGCCTTATCATTAGTATCAGACAGCGATTGAATAACATTGTTACAACCGCGTATATGAACAACTGTTTGATACATCAACGGAAGTTTATTCCACTTTTGATTCATCGCTTTATTCAATCAACCTTAGCCCATTCTGATTTTTAACGAAGCTTCAATTTATTCCTTTACTGCATTTACTTATCACTGAAACTTAAAACTGTAATGTACCCAAAGAATCGAAGTATGACTTCATGTATTATCTTTCATTGGCTCTATTCATTGATATACATCATACATTACAATTTCAGTTGAACCAGAGCGATAAAAATACTGAATAGCATCAGCAACAGAAAGCAAATGTCTGATACTTTAAATGAAATAGAAATGCTCCTGTTGTAAACAAAGTGAGAGATAATTTTGAGAATGAGCGTGATAAGCTAGAAATTTAGAACGGAATGAGAACCAATTCATCACTGGCCTAGAGAGGCTCTTTGAAAGATTATCTGAATGCAAACAGAATGATTGATGAGTGCTGATTATAACCTGTGAATATCTAAATGCCTGTTTTTCACCATTGATAGATATGATGAATTGCATTTAGAAGAGATTCGTATGTGCGGGAAATATTAGTACTCGTGTTTCATGATTGAGATGGCAAATTGAGATTTGAGAATTCATTCGAAAACTCAGTGCTATTGTACAGATTGAAAGTGTTCAAAATCAAGCTACCACTCTGCCATGTTTTGTCAAATCAGTGTTCATTTAATCCACTTGAAAATATTTACGTCACATGCATTTTATAGGAATGTAAGCTTTTACATCTGGCGTCAATGTTTTGTTGGTTTCCGGGTTTTGCCAAACGCTTCAACTGCAACTGCGGCAGTCATCTTGAGGGGCGTGATCGAAGTACTCTTTTTGACGTATCAACTGAAACTTAGTTGATGACTGCAGCAGAAACACAGTTAATACGCCAACCAAAACATCTCCGAGAACATCGCTTTGAATTGTTTAAATAGAACATGGTTACCTAAGTTTGATGACTTGTTCAAAAATGGTTTTCAATTCTCCTTATCCACCAATAAAATTATTTTGAAAGTATTTGATTTCTTCTTTGAAAATATTACATTATTGTCACCACAGAGTCACTGATTGTGTCTGTATTCAGAAGCTCATAAATTTTGAACTTTCTGTTAATGTCAAGAGTGAAGAAACCTACTTTACCGATCATATGTATGAGTGGTTCGTATATAGATACGTATATACCTATATACGAAATCAATTCATTTCTATTTATTGTTACTTGGTCTTCACGAATCTATTAAAGATATTTTGAACATGATAAAAACCTTTAAAGGCACTTTTTGATTGTATATGAAATGGAACCATTCTACCAACTGATATTTGCTTGAAGAAACCCCTTTTTTCAATTTGCACCTCAACCATGAAAACTTTTTTACTGAAATCACCAACTCTTCCCACCCATCACTCCAAGCAGCACTTCCCTCCCCCAATACCCCTCACTCACCCTCGCCGCGATCGACGTCGTAGGCTTCTCCAACATATCCCACAGCCACTTTTGATACTGGGAACACTTATCCTCCCCGAACTCCTCCTCGTCGCGCTGCCGCAGAGACTCAGCCTCCTTGCGCATCTCTTCATGGACGTGCTCCTTGCGCTGGTGGTACTTGTGCTGGCAGCACGACTCGAGGTAGAGCTCGTCGACGCCCCAGTACTCCAGGTCATCACTGAACGCGAGCACGCACATCTCGTCCACCAGGTGGAGTTTTCCGGTTCGGTAGAAGTTCAAAATCGAACTAAACGATTTGGGGTGGCGGTCGAAGAAGTATTCGTTGTCGATGAGCGAGTAGTCGTCGCAGAGTTCGGTGAGGGACTCGTGGGTGTTACAATCGCGGAGGCGGCCCAACCTGAAAAGAAAAACGAGGATTCAGCGTCATTATATTCCTCATAGTTGTCATTATCGTCATCGACATCTTCACACACATTTTTCATCATCATAATCAATTAATCATTGTTGGTAACTCGTTTGGTGAATCCAGCACTGAGAATAAAGTTGCTTTTCTTCCACCTGAGTCGTTTTCAGTAATCATCATTGTCGATGCTTTCGCCATTAATAACCAAACAGTGAAAAAGGAACCTCACAGCGATCTCTACATTTGTACATTGTTCCATACAGAATTTTTGTTGAAATTGTATGCATTGAAGTGGAATATTTTTCAGGTTTTTAGGTTGCTTCAAAGAGTGCATGAAAAAAATGATTTTATTGAACGCAATAACAATTACACGAAATGAAAGAGAAGAAAGAAGAATGGAACAAAAAAAAGGACGTTGCAGCACTGACAATAACTAGATTGGACAAACATTCAAAGAATGGACGTAGGTTATAGTTGTATCTGTTTTTGAAGGTCCAATACTTAATCTATACTTACACCAGCCATGATTCGTACAGATTTAGTTAGCAATCATTCAATTTTGCCACTCAGGGCAATCAAATCTTGTGATACAGGTTCCATTATGAATAAAACTGTTCTTTCATCAGGAAGAAAATACTATTATGGACCTGCTAATTAAGCAAAAACTTTTGAAGCCTTTTATGAAGAAAAATTCGATGTTATCTGCCTCACCTGTGTGCTCGAACCTTGAAAAGGGTCATCTAATGAGACTCGAAATGTTGCTGAACAAGGTACTACATTTTGTTTTGATAGTGAAATTTGGAAATTGGGAAATTTGATTGTTTCAATTTGGATGAAATCAGCTACAGATCATGTCAGGCGACTGGCCCAAATTTTTTCAGCAAAAATGCCACTATCACGGAAAACCACTGCTGTAAGAATCTATCACAATCAGCTCCACGAACGTGGAATTATTTTATCAATCTGTAGATGAGTTCATAGAAAAATCTAGTCGCGGTAGTTTTCATTCGTTAATTCCTAACCTAGTTTTAACATGAAATTTTACCAGTGATGAAACTTACGTTTATCATCTGAGCCAGAGGTCAAACGCAAAACAATTGTGAAGAAACGCACTATTTCGTCCCGTCTCATTAGTGTTGCTGATATGAACGACAAATGCATTGCCGGATTCATCCACCATTAAAGAATAATCATTCCAAAGGCGGTCCGTTGCAAAGCCAAGCCGCAAAATCGACCACCGAACGAGATTTGTTCTCTTTGTTCGTCTGCAGCTTGTAGTGCAAGGCAACTAGATGAAACCATAACTCAACAACAACATACACTAGCTCACCAATTCATGTAGTGGCAGTTCTGGGTTATCGTGAAGAAGGTACGCTGATTTAATTATGATTTCCTCAGGACCTCCCTCACACATCGTCTTCAACTGGTTCCTGGTACAACAATTTCTCAACGACATTATATTCAGTCCTTTCGAATAATTACACATGTTCTAGGGGTTCAATAACTTTCTTCATATTCTGAGGTGGATTAAAAGGCACGACAGGATTAAAGGTGATCGCATTGCCTACTCTTCAGCCAAGGAAGCGGCTGGACTAAGAATTTTAGGACCCAGTCGCACCTACGGCCTGATGACTTCGACAATTGCGAAACTAGCCAAACGTCACACTCATGCTCAATCCCTAAAGAGATGGGATGACATTGAAGGATGTAATCTTGCCAGGATCACCCTGGGCAACCCTGGGAAGCTGGCGCCGAAGAAATATTTAGCGATGACCAGAAAAAACCTATGCTCAACAGTAAGATTTCTGACTGGCCACTGTCAACTAAGGAAACACCTCCACAATATGGGGCTGGTGAACACACTATGCAGGATGTGTGACCAGGAAGGTGAGACTGTCAGGCATGTCTTGTGCGAGTACCCGGAGTTATTGTCAATAAGAGAGTGTGTGTTCGGCGAGTCTTGGCCTACACCTGCCGATATAAAGGAAATGTCTCCCAGTGACCTGTCCACCTTCCTGGAAAGGACAGGATGGACGATGACCTAGGAGGACAACTCCTCAGGAGGATGTACAATGGGCCACATGTGGCCAACGTGCTGTGGGCCTACACTCACCCTACTACTCTACAGATATAGAGATACAGAACTTCCTCCATATCTTTTCCAGTTTCATGATTTTTTCCCTGTAGACCCAGGGTACTTAGATAGCAATATCAAGCTTTTCCATATTATTCATGAGGACCAGTGAAGCTTCCCTACTCTCCTAATACCACAGGGGCTCCCTCTTCTAGTTGAGACCTGCTAAGCAGTTCACACAGTCTGCCAAAACCGAGGTATATCATGTCTTACTTATATACATTATTACTCAATAAATTATCATGATAGATCAAATTGGAACCTCTGAAGTGAAATGAATCTATCTAGAACACTTTTTCCACACCAAAACAAAAATACCGTCACTTGACGTGCATGCTATCCAAGTTAGCACCATCAAAAGATGACTAAATGTATAAAGTATATCAATTGATATGGAGGTCGTTATGTGATGATTCGCATGACACGGGAAGAAGAAATACTCAAAATGACAGAAATGAAAGAAAAACAAGGATAATATGAACAGTTGAATTGAATAACGGTAGAGAAAAGGAGCTCGAGGTAGTTACAAAAAGTCAGAAATGAACTGATCAAAGCAAAAATGGATGGAAATGAGGAAACGGCAATGAGGGACAGAAGGAGATGAAAAAATATCAATGAAATGAACGAACAAGAGGAGTTGTCCGCCAAAAACATCGAGTACTAGATAACTCACAGAGTGGTGCTACTCCACAAGGAGTATTGAGCAATATATGTACAAAGATATATGTTGAATCATTACTTCTCTTGTTAATATCACTCACCTGGTATGCGGTAGTCGATCAAGCGTCCTCCAGAGCACCTCGTGCTTCACTCCTCCAACGTTGATGACGACCCTCCTGTTGAGCGCCTTGGAGCGCATGATCATGAAGGGTTCGGGCGGCAGCGAAGACATCGACCTGGAGAAGGGCCTCTGCAGTTGTAAGGGCAGCGGCGGCGGCGGGGGTATGTGTGGGGGCAGGTGCGAGGGAGGCGACATCTGCGGCACGGAGGAGTACCGCACCTGCTCCCTGTTGTTCTCCATGCCGTCGAGGAGGGCGCCGGAGGAGATTTGGTCCCACCGCACGGCCAGTCCTTCGCCTCCATCCCGATCGCCCACCATAGACGGCGCCTGGCTGGGGGTCGTGGTACTAGCCGTGCTGATGCGGCCTCACCCGCCACTGTCGTCGGCCGCGCGTCTTTGGCTTATCCGAACCTGAAACAATATCAATCGGAACTGCAATATCTGGTAACTTAGTGAAAGTATCTGATATATAAAAAATCGCAAAATTGTTTAAGAAACACCTTTTATATTTTTTGAGGACAAAACACAAGTACTTGCTCCCGATGGAAGAGTTTTTGAACAGTGAAGTTCGAGGTGTACTGAGTTCACCCCCAAAACGATGAGCAGGCACAGTCCGCCGCCAATTTCTGATATGTACCGCTCTTGGTGGAATCAAATGTGCCAAGTCACTTGAACACTTCCCGTGATACTCAAAAGAAGGTCTAATCTGACCTCTATAAAGCATCAAAAGTTGCTCAGAAGTGTACAGTTTTCTGGTTCGGAACAGTGCTCCAAGCTTTTGAGAAGCAGCCTTTGCAATTCCACCGACATGAATGTGCCAAGACATATTGGTGTCCATTTCAACCCCCTGTCTAGACCAGTTGTTATGATTTTTGATTCATTGGAATCATCTCCACACCAAATGCCAGAATAATTATAGAAACATTTGAAAAACTGAGAAAAAAATTTTAACTTGAGCAAACTGATGACGTTCAGTTCAAAAACATGAGCTTTCACAACCGTAGTCACGATTAGAGAGGAAAAAATATGGGCTGGTGAGCCGTGGTCTGATGAAATTTGTAGTACGTGGTCTGTCTCTACAAGGACATGATTTGCAATTGCGAATTGTTTCGGTTATGTAAATCGGCAGCTGAGTTTCTGTTCTTATATCCTGGTGTTGATGCTGCCTTTGGTAGTACTGATGTCAGATGTCAGAGACATTTGGTCGGAATGCTCAGTTGATTAGTCGGCTTGTGAATGTTCATGATACCATGATCATTGAAGAGTTTTCTGATGTGGTCCGTAAAAGTGTAGTTGAAGTATTTCTTCTTCAAGGATGTAGAGCAGTTTGATTTCTTGCGATGTAAACCCATTGACCTGTAAAGCTTGGTCCAATTTACAAATTCCTTGAATTTGTTCAGTATTGTCAGGCTCACTGTTTTTGAAGTAGATCTCCTGTTATGGTTCTCAAGCTTTGAACACACCTTCAAACAAAACACTGCACACAAGAAAAAATTGAGGGAGTAAACTTTCTTGTCCACGGGCTCTTCAATTCCCCTTCAGTAAAATAACTGACAACAAAGGAAATTCTTCAAATATAGTAAATGAGTTGAATAGGAAATGTAAAATTTGGGAATCTTCAACACACAATCTCACAATTAAGTGTTTCTTCATTACATTATGGATTCACAATTCATTGTTCGCCATATGAACCACGATGAACTAACGGATTATATCCCATTTTCAAAAAGTTGAAAAATAGCTTTCAAAACAACTATCTCACTTCCACAAATATGAGTGACCCTGAAGACAAAATATTGGAAATTCAAGGATATATGAAATGAGCTGTGAAAACTGTGACTAAAAGTATATCGGTCAGACTAGACGAACTGTTAAACCACGTTTCAAAGACCACGCAGTACATATTCAATATCTCGGAGATAAGAAAAGTCTGGCGTGTCTTGGTGAATGAAAGACAGAATGAATGAATTATGTCTAAAATTGTTGAGATCGGTACATGACACTGGACTTTTGGATGATTTCGAAAGTCTTGAAATAACACAGTGTGGCACGAAAATCATGAACAGATAGAAACGTTCTATCCCAAACAGCACATTGATTACTTGGTCCGCGAAACGCGCGTCGAAACAAGTAATGTATATCTGGTGTTTAGGATTTTATGCACCAGTTTGGTGTATGGTGTGATATTTAATTTATATTATTCGGAGTTCTTATTCGAAAAAAAAAAGAAGTAAAGCATTTAAACACTTTGATTGAATTATATCATTGTGTAACAAGTTCATTTCAATATCGGTATTATTTCACTGTATATATTCAAGATTATGTCGTTGAAAAACATTATCACAAATCATGTTTCACAAAATATTTCGAAGAATACGAAAGGAAGTTCCAACCTACAAAATAGCGTAAATGAAGGTATCGAAATTTGTCGAGTCACGGCAACTAATGAGTGAATATTAGTTCAAGTCATTAAACTTCAATTTCCTCTTGCAATACTAAATGTCAAAACAATCGTTTTTTACGACAGAAGCAATTAATACGAGGGGAGAATGTGGTTTTTGGCAAAACTCATTCAATAGGTCAAGGCAGGCAACTCCCACGTGAAATATAACGGCAAGACAGAGAATGTGTTCGAAAAGGTTATTTCTCTAATATAGATTCCATTAAATTAATGATAATTCAGGGAAAAATAATAATTTTATATGAATGTTTGTCGTATGAGTTGAACCAACTTTTGTGTTATTGTTAGTTAGATGTTTCGCCTTCGAATATATTTTCAAGAAGCTATCACTACACTGAAGTCTCAGTCTACCGTCTCCTCAGGTTGTGACACGCCGCTAGAGTTTCCTGACTTGACGCCAAGGCGTCAATCTGCTTACTCCCCAGGACTGGTCTTTGGTCTCTACAAGGATCCCAGTCTGCCTATGCCCAAGCGTCAATGCTCGGTACATCGGTTCTAGTCTGCTATTGATGTCTCTGGACGTGTAGAGGGGGAACCGGTAGTGAGTCACACCAGATAGTATAGTGATTCAGTAAGTGACATTCAGTAACTATGGCCTTTTATGGTGGGTTTTTGCTTTTGGGAAATGCCTGAGTGGCTCATTGGTGTCCAACCATTATCCTGAACATCTCCTGCTATCGTAGATGATCCACTTTTTATCACACGTGACAATTCGATCCAAAAAAGGATAATTTTTGTTGCGCAAGAGCGAAGAAGAACAGACTTCGAAACGTGACAATCGATCGTTCAGATCATGGGGCACCCACTTTTCGAACTGTTTTACTGTTCCGTCTCCACCAGTTTTCTTTTTTTTTTATATTTTTTCTCTTTGTGTATTTGTCTACTGATGATTTCACTCAATTTGCAAAAGTTGTATTAATCGCGAAATTCGGCTGTGTTTCCTATTCTGATTAAATATATGGAGCGCTCCTCATATCAATATATTTGGTCGGTCACTGAAACAGCAGCAAAACAACAGGAATTCGATATATAGATTCGCTACAGAAAGCATCTCAGATGATTCGACAACCTACTCAATTAATTAAGAAAGTTGCTGGCCAGCTTGTGTTGTGTGATTCAACAGGTTCTTACGATCATCCTTCTGGAACCAGAAGCCTCTCTACAAGCCGCTACTAGAGCCGACAGACACTCATACAGATGTGGAAAAAAATATCTGTACATACGAATCCCAATGCATTGTGGTCGATCAGTTTGAAATTAGAGAATTGTTCGCTGCGGAATATCAACTACTTGATTGAACTACCATTCTCCTTTCTGCACTGTTTAACTCCAGTAACTAGCATTCAGTTCACGAAGGAAGAAAAGCTAAAAATATGTGCCGCTTTGAAGCCCTTGAACCTTGTACAAGCCAATAAACTGCACATCAAATCAATATGAGTAACAGAACTGTTTGGAATGGTTACCACTATTATTAACTACAAAAAACTCACGAAGTTTATCCCGGCGACCACATTAGACCCATGGAATTTTGTGAAACCATGTTGAAAAAACAAAATGAAATTGACTGATTATTGAATAACGTAATATTCACAAGAGTCATCATTTCCTTTACGTAGAAAACAAAATCCATCCATTGTTCGATATTGGTCTTGGGAAACTCAGCATCTGAGTTTTCATGTGTGTACTTAGTACCAACAAATACTCCATGTTTGGACAGAAGTGTTAGGTGACTATATTATAGGTCCTTTTTTCATCGATAGCAACCTCAATGCTGTCAAATACTACAGCTACTACAAAATCAAATTATTCCAACAGTTCATCTACTTAATATTGATTTTGGAGACCTTTAGTTTCAACGGGACAATTATTCAATGCACGACCAATGACACAAGTTTTCTCCTTAATACGTTTCCTGGTCGAATGATATCTACACATGTTACAATTGAGTGGGCTTCCAGATCACCAGACACATCTCCGAGTGATTTCTTTCTTTGTGGGTATCTGAAAAAATGTGTCTATGGGCATGAATTATGGAGTCCTACAAATCCTGATGAATTAGGGGAACACTCATCCAACTTTGTGCCAGCATTACACCAACTTAAAAGTCCTGTATAAATCTAGGAAAAAAATGTTTTTTAAGAATGTTGAAGAAGAAAGGAAAACTTATTACAAAAACAGAATTGAGAATTCACAAAACAAGAACAAGACCTTGTGGCAAATTATTAACACAAAACTCAATAGAAATCACACCAAAAAGGAAATAATATCAAATCATGTAATCAAATTGTAGAAAATGAGACATCTCTGTCCAACAGAGATGTCTTTCCTCAGTCCAACATAAACTCATTTCTCATTTCAAAACTCTGTCCAATGAATGCACCAGCACCTTGAGAATGAATAATAATTCAATGTTTTTCTACCTGTATTTCCAGAGGAAATAAAAACTGTTATACTTAGTATGCCAAATAAACATTCAACAGGTGTTGATGAAATACCGGTTAAATTACTCAAAGAATGTATAGATGACTTTTCACAATTTTTTGCATTGATAATCAATAAATCTGTAGAAATTGGTCAATTTCCCAGTATATTGAAATTAGCCTTAATTATCCCTGTTTTCAAAAAAGGGAATACTCTAGACATAAACAATTATCGACCTACTTCTTTACTGAGTGCACTCTCTAAAGTTATCGAAAAAATAATGACTATCAGACTTAACAACTATCTCAATAAATTCCACTTATTAACTAACCCCTTCTCAACACGGTTTTAGAGAAAAATTCTCCACCGAAACTGCTACAATTGAACTGATACAATTTATTAATGATGGATTAAATAGTAAAGACTTTGTGATAGGTATATTTGTTGATCTTACATATGCATTTGACACTTCAAACATCACTTCTGTGGAAGAAAAGTTGGAAAAACTTGGAATATGAGGAAATATTCAAAACTGGTTAATTTCATATCTATCTGACAGGAAACTTATAGTGAAAGTTGATAAAGTGTGTTCCTCAGAAAAGGACATCTTTCTAGGAACACCGCAAGGTAGTGTTCTTGGTCCCATGATCTTTCTCCTTTATATAAACGATTTAAGAAATTTTATATCCCAAGGAAAAGTTTTCTTATATGCTGATGACACGTCCATTATATGTAGAGGAAAAAAACTTGATGATACAATTAATGCTTAACATGCTGTCATACACGAATTTGAATCATGGTGTTTCAGAAACAGGCTAATTATTAATTATGATAAAACCGTATGTATTTTATTTAAATCTAAAACAAATTCAATCGATTCCAAAAATATCAAAATTCACATAAATAATCATGAGCTGAAAATAAGCAATGAAACAAATATTCTGGGAGTCAACGTAGATGAACTCATTGCTTTGACACCACATATAAATAACTTATGTTCTCAATTGAGTTCATCATGTTTCGCCATTAATACTTTAAAATATGATTTAGACAAGGAGTATCTGATAAATGTGTGCTACGCATTATTTTATTCTTAGATTGCCTACAACATAATTGTCTGGGACCGAAGTGTTGATGTGCATAGAGTGTTTGTGATACAAAAACGAATTTTAAGAACAATTTTCAGACTGAAACCAACATAAACTTGTAGGGACTCATTTATTGAAAACAATATATTACCAGTAGTGGGAATATATCTATATAAATGATTGAGTTATATCCATATCAACAAAAGTAATTTGAAAACAAATGCAGAATTTCATAATTATTCCACTCGAAATAATTCAAACCTCCGCATTGCTAAATGTAATTTGTCTCTCTATAAAAAATCGCCTTTATAGGAAGGTGGTGACTTATATAATAAAATACCGACTGATTTTGAATCAATTAAAAATCCTTCAGAATAAAATTATTTCTCTGCAAAAACTGTTTCTACAGTATTGATGAATTTTTAAACTACCAGCAATCTGTTTCCAATATTGAATTCCATTTAAAGGTAGTTGAACTATTTTTATATCTTAAGTTATTACCCTTATTATTATTTGTGTTTGATTGTATTCTACTATTTTTTGACATGTTCTATCCAATCTTTTTTGGCTTACAGAATGAATTTGTATTCTATTCTATTTTAATAAATTCAGAGATATGAGATTACCACCTGTATCACATATTTGGCCATTGTTAAGCACAACAAGGTGGTTTATTTGAACCTCCATTGTATAAGGTTCGTTGATGTTATCTTTCTCTTTAGTTTTCAGAAGTAGACGTTATGTTTTTTTGAGTTTCAGAGAACAGTATCGGTTTAATTTTCAATTCAAAGCATGAACAAAGCACTTTCGACATAAAGAAAACACAACATTAATGTTTCAACAGGAGAAATCATTTGTTACAGTTATCGCAGCAAATAATTACTAGCAGACAACGGAACTTCGGCTACGCATGGTCTCTTGCTCAAATGGGAACCTTGTTCGCCAAACTTGGTTCGCCCGAACCATGTTCGTCATTTGTTCCCCTGTGTGTGGTGTTTAACGAACTAATATCACCACAATTTATCACGAAGTTGATCTTGCATCGGGTTGGAGAATATTTGTTCCGTTCAGTACAGGGACAGGAATAAGCGAGGAAAAGGTTTGAACATTCTCTTACTGTTGACTCGCGATACGATTCCCACTGCAGATCTGAGTTTCGTCAATATTTGAATCGAGTCAGTAAAGCAGAGTCTCCATAGGGAATTTAGAACAGTAAAGTTGTCAATGAAATCCGGCACAGCAGAGACAAATGTTCACAAACCACAATTACGGTACTATGACCTCATTTCTTTCATTGCCTTATTTCATTCTTGAATAATTGGTGTAATCTTTCGCACTGTTCTCCCTAAGACCACTTCTCCCTCTCACGAAGCCGATGCTTCGTCCATTGCGATCTTTTCTTCTGCTTTCTTGACCTCCAAGCTCATCTAATACACCGGTAGCAGCCTGCAATCTTCGAGGAACCCATCCCAACTGCTGAAATGAAACTGATGAAATGGCGAACCGTTGTTCATTGTGTGTAGGGATAAACGAACCAAGAACTTGGTTCGCCGAACCAAGTTCCTATGTGTGAGACCGTTGTAGAGTGGTTTAATCGAGAATTTGATATTCCGTCGCGAACAACTCTGTAATTTCAAACTGGTCGACAACTATAGCGGACCCCGTCCAGAATGCATGGCGATTCGCATGTTCCGATATTTATTTTCCGCATCACTGTAATCTGCTGGGGTGCCACAGATATGTGTACGAGTATTCTCAAATACCAGAAATGAATTGAAACCCGACAAACCCTATTTTGGACAGATATCATTAGTAGTGTATTATAAATAATTGTTTCTTTTGGGATATGAAGGGACCACTACGATGACCACTTCCACCTTGAAAATGGGTAATATTTTTGCATATATACATAATATAAACAGGCTGAGGTGGAGTTGAGAATATAACGAGAAATGCGAGTGCCTTATCATTAGTATCAGACAGCGAGTGAATAACATTGTTACAACCGCGTATATGAACAACTGTNTGTGAATAGGTGTGAGCCACAATAAACCCTTGCGGGATGAGGTGGAGGGTCGAATAGACCCACCCACTTTGGACCTAACCTAACATAACTGACTCTAAACGGAGCGAAATGATAACCACTCAAAATTTTCAACTTCGAAATCAAAATTCGTATCATTCTCAATTAACCTTCAACTAGCGTATCACAGAATTCACAATAATGTTGATTCCTGACAGTTGAAAAACTTCAAATGACACCTTTATGCTCAGTAACTCAGAAACTCAGTAACTTTATTTTCCAAACATTCTTTCTAGGGACCACATCTGCCATGAGTATAACTAATATCAGTGCTTTTAGAAAGTGTGATCTGCCAAATGCCTTGCAAATTATTGTTCCATCTCAAATCGACGAAAACAGAGTCCATAAAATCAGCATTCGTGGACCAAGATCACACGTTTGAATTGCTGGACTCAACAAACGAAATGCGAATTTTTTTCTGCCACTGGTGTAGACTACAAAAATCAATCATGCAGGAAATGGAATGAGGATTGAATATTCACCGGTGAGAATACCAAGATAAATTTGAATATAACGCTGATTGAGGTCAGTCCTCAAATATAGGAACAGTCATCACGTTGACAGCGATGAGGGAGGTTATATTTCGGAGTCTCAGCAACGACTGACTGGCGAGCTACGTGTTCACTCGTATTTATAATTCCAGACGGAGGTGGGGGTGGTTTTGTGGGCGGTGGTGTGGCTGATGGTAGAGATGGTGACGCGGTGTTAATGCAAATGCTTACTCATAATTGGACTGCACTTTTGCTGGGCCGATCTGATGGGTCTACCCTGTTACTTGATTGTTATGCTTTGTCCACGTTTTTGACATGTATACTACTGTGAAATATCAAACGGAGTTATATTGTAGTCTATTTTTGGCCTTCTTGAGTACTAGATGATACGTCTTATGTGTATTTGTATTGTGATGTTTATCCTGCGTTTGGTAGTTCCGATGTTAACAGTTTTATTGTTGATTAGTGCATCAAAAATGGTGGCTCCAAATAACAAACATAAACATAGCGAAACCAACTGGTGTGTTTCGGTGGAATGGTGTTGAGAGCTTTCTCCTAGATAACTTCCATTTAGAAATTTGCAATCACTGAGCTGAGAGGACTTTCCACATGTAGTGGTCGAGAAAAGCTGTGATTTTCACTGAGGAAATTTGTTTGATTTGCTCCAACGTATTCTTGACTTATACCATACTGGAGAGAGAAACAACATCGAAATTAACCAGAATATCATTCGGCTGCTGGAACAAAATATTTATTTTCTCGATGAAATGATACAGTAGATTAGGTAATTCGCACGAAGTGGATGGTCTAGCTTGTGATTATTGAGAAGGCAGTAAAGTCTAGCTGGTGAGGTTCTGTTATCAGTTTTCAGAAGGGTGATATTTTAGTTTTATTATAATGAGAAAACCCATGGTGATATGAAGCCCTAGGATATTATAATAACACTAATAATTTCAATATGAAATCAACAAAATAATACTACTTTTATGAAAACATAAGTGGAATATTTGGCGTAATGATCGACCAAAAACTGGTCGATAGGAGATTAACCTCAGTATCTTGGTCAACAAGTCATTGAACTCATAGTCACCTATATCTTACAAAACTGGAACAACTGTCAGCTCAAGTCAAATTGCAAATTTTGCAAAAGACTCACCTGTTTTGACTCACAGTTCCAAATGCTGCAGTTCTAGTGGTGGGTAATGCACGAAATAGTGTCATCTCATTTGGAAATTTGCACTCTGTCCAGAGACATGATAATTTCCAATGAAAAATAACAAATGATCAAGTTTTCCTAAGGTTCGCCAACAGAAATAATACGCGAATGAAGGCAAAAGATTAACCATATATTCGACAAAAATGAAGTTCGTCTGACTTGAACATGGAGCCAGCTCATAAAAATAACAATACAAGTGACTTCACAACCAAGCACATCCATTTAGCAACTCACTTCAAAGAAGATGCACACACTAAATAATCGTCGAAAGGTCACTTCAACTGTACGAAAATGTATCTTTGGCACATGCTGTGTTTACACTGTTTCATGTGCCAATGAGTCAAATCAATTTCGACAATAGAATTTCCGCTGCGGAATACCATCTGTTTGGAGACAACTATTTTGTTTCGACATAATAACTCGAATGGAATGGAATAAATGTGGTCATTGAAATGTAATAAACATGTCCATTACAAGCGAGAATAAAGTTTGGGGGTCGTGTATTATACGAGCCAGTGATGACCATTTTTCGCGAGTAGAATACTATACTTTTCAATGACTTATAACGAGAGTATTTGAATATTACTGAAGTTTTTTCCATCACCAAATCGTTATTTTTAACACCTCGACACGTGTTTCGATCACCAAGTGATCATCTTCAAAGAGGAAGATCGAACTAGAAACTAACGCGAAACTAACGCCATTTATGCTATATAGATATGCCATACAGGTGAACCATCCAGGTGTACCTACCACCCATACAGGTACACAACCTGAATTAATTTTACAATTTTGCCTTATCTATTATTTTACAATATATGTTTTACTGTTATAGCTGTATATAAAACAATTTTCAGCTATATAAAAATTAATTTCACAATATTGCATATCTAAATTTATTTTTGCAATGTGTCCTTTGTAGTAATCAGTAAACCCAACAATATTATTTTAACAAGCTGTATAGTATGCTCTTTGGTATAGGTCCGTCCTCGTTATTCATGATATTATTGTGTTTACTTATTTCTACACTCTCATAGGCATCTAGTTGCCTGTTGTTGTTAACTTGTCCAACTAATCTTAATGAACTGAAGTCTATGGAATGGTTTTGTTGCAAAATATGATGGGCGACTGCTGATTTTTCAGGT